CTCAAATTATTTGTTTTGTAGCATTGTAAATTATTTGTTATATAGTAGAATATGAGTATGACGTAGAAATGTCGATACGTTATTCAGCTATTTATTTCCATTAGAATCTGTCTTCACTGAGTCTATTCAGAAAAAAAAAATCAGAAATTTGAAAAGAAAGATCGATCCTTAATTTGATTTGACGATGTAAAGTTTAAGATTACCGACTATGAACCTTGAAGCTCATTTTATAAAGCTGGTTCAGCGTAATAAAAAGAACAATCTGACGGCCAGGAATATGAACAGAAGAAGTGGAAGAATTATGATATTCTCTATCGCTCATAATTATCACGGAAATCACGTTCACCAAAATTTGTCCGTGATAACTATGACCGATGAGGTTCAGGTATTGTAGAACTTTATAATAAGATAATAGACATTGAATCCTATGATAACTTTAAAAAACTTGGATACCTTAAATATATGGGTCACAGTGTGGCATTTACAGTTACGGTTGCTTAAGAAACAAGTTCGAAAGAGCAAGATGTTACAAATGAAAGCAGACCGGATCAGTGAACGGATCAAAATTCAAATGTCTAATCGGCTCACAATTTTATTACAATTACGGGAAGCATCAGTCACACGATGGGACTGCTCCTAAAATTGCTTGAAATTTACCCTAATTAGATTTCAGTAAGAGCGGGTTCAGGGACCCCAGTCGTGAGTCTAATTTGATCATCCAATCCAGCCAACATTTAAATTTTTGAGTAATAGTAACAAAATTGCGTAATAGTGTAACTAATTCAATTTTACATTTTGATAGACACACGTTGGATCGTGGCCCTATTACCTCTGGAGAATGGAGTTCAAGGGAATATGAAATATATAAGTAAAACACGAAATGAAAGTATTTAGCAAAGTTTATAGAGTAACTAATGTATATAATTTCTAAAGGTATAATATACCATAAATAATCAATGAAGAACTTATAATAACATAAACCCGCCACGCAAAGGGTTTATATAACAGATCATCCCGCGCTAGCGGGATGATCTGATAAACATATACGAGTGCGCGCAGCGCACGAGTTTTGTGTTAATATGTAATCCCGAAGCGCCAGCTGAGGGATTACATTTATTTAGCCCTGAGCGTGAAGTGTTTATGGATTATAATCATCTCCGGCGATTTCGACAAGGGATTTATACTTTAGATTGGAAAGCAGTTCATCAATCTGAATGTCAAACCGATCTGTCATAGTGGAGCAATAGCTTGAACGTTAGCAGGAACAAGAGCTGGAAGGAGAGCAAGCAAAACAATACTATTTTTAGGGCACGGACAAGGGTAGCTGGCTAGTCGCCAATGCAACTTCTCACGCCACGCGTTGGAGAAATTCCAAGAATTAGCTGCTTTGGCAACGTCCCCAGGAATTTGCGTGTAAAAGAAGTGGACGGTTACGATGTTTCATATCACGTGGTGCGCTTTCGTGTCACGTGGTATAGACTCGGCGTATGCTATTGGTGGCACGTGGTACGCACGTGACGCGCCCACGTGATCGCGCGTCTAACTGTTCTACTATTATCGAGTTCTAATCAGCAGTATCATTGATTATTGTAAGTCGGAGAATTGAATGATAAACATCAGTTACGACTAAAAAGCGGGCCGGGTTTATACAAATTTCCGGGGCGGGATGATATCACCTTGAGATGTTTATCTAACAGCGGGCCGGGCTGAGTGATAATATGATCCCGCGTCGAAATCCCGGAGATATTTATAGTACGATAACTATTCGATTAAAATAAACATGCTGTTAAGATATCATACTAAGCATGCGAATACAATGTGTTTATTGGCCCCATTCTTGTAAACAAGAGGCACACACTTTCAATTTTCATCAAATGTTTCTTGCTACATTTTGCTAGTCCACATTTCTCACACCTTGTTGTGGGCTTAGAGAGACCGTTTATTTGCGTTCTCTTTGCCCCACTAGGAAGGCCTTTCGTGCAAATGTCTCGTTTACAGTCGCCGCACCTTCTTCTAGTTTTCAAGGGCTTATTTCTGTGAGAACGGTTTTTGACCGGCAAGCTTTTTCCCAAAATCGAAAGAGTTCGCGCCTTTCGGGAATCCTTGCCAGTGTTTAGAGCTATCATGGTCTGGATGTTAACCCTGGTGGTGTCCATGATATGTAGCTAAACACTGCAACTGACCAGCGACGACACTTCGGTTTACTGGAGTATGTGCTTGAGCTAAACCTAAATTATGCTATACTGTTATGCATTATCAAGCTAATGACACTAATAGCCGTATGTCATATAAAGAGGGTTCAATCAGATTACGAATGAATAATATATTAATTATTATAAACTTTGATTTATCGATATAAAAATACTGATTTATACCTGCTGTCCATACTATCTGTGCCGACTTTTGTGAAATCGTACAGCTTCAAGATTGCAGGCTTTAGTATTTCGTCATTTGTTACACCCTCGATAGGTTTTCGAGTAGTCATTACAACGACACCGATCTAAAAATAGTTTTTGTTGTTTTAATTTTATTAAAATATAACTTGAAGATTAAAAACTTAATTAAAAGACTATTAGACTGTTTATCTTCGTATTATTTGAACACATGCCACTTAGCATTGGGTAATTTATGTACCGTTTAATATAATATAGCGTCTACACACACGCACACACGCACACACGCACACGCACACATACACGCACACACGCACACACGCACGCACGCACGCACGCACTCACGCACGCACGCACGCACGCACGCACGCACGCACGCACGCACGCACGCACGCACGCACGCACGCACGCACGCACGCACGCACGCACGCACGCACGCACGCACGCACGCACGCACGCACGCACACACAGACACACACACACACACACACACACACACACACGCACACACACTGCAGCAATCAATTCCAAATGGGTAGCTGATTTTTATAAAATATGAAATAACACCGTGATCCGGCGTGATCAATTATTTTAATTGAAGTACTAGTACAACACTTCAACAGCTGCATCACTGACTTTTTAACTAGAGATAAGAAACTTATTTTGATAAAATTTAAAGTTAGGTGTGTAGATTGGTGTGGAAATAAAAAAGATATTTTATCATATCATATATTTTAATAATGTGACAATCAGATATTGTTACCATGGCAACACTACTGTCTCCAGTCTCCATAGAGTATATACCTTTAGGCTTTATAATTAACCCCTTATCTCTTAGCAGACGGTTAAGCAATTGGCTGATTTCTATTTGTATTTTAATTGTCCTAAATGAAATTAGGCTAGCGGACAAAATAAATTTCTATAAGTGAGGGTATTTTAGACCCTGGATCTAATTATCTGATCGGTGCTAATTGCTCAAGAATGATTTGTGTCTTGAAGATGTCATTTTAACAGATCAGCAGCAGGATTAGCAAGTTCTAACAAAGGAAATACTGATTTATTATTATTGTTATTAGATTAGCAAGTTCTGACACAATGAACTGGTCAGAACGGTGACCAGTACAAATACAGCATAACAAATATAACCCTCACTTACATTTCCAGAAAATCGTATCTTGCAGCATCTCAGTCTCACTTTATTCACCAAACTAAGATGAAACTCACCAATACCCTAATCTGTCTGAGCCTTGTAGTCCTTGTCACTTGCAGAACCCTCGAGGAGGACGACCAAACAATTGGGTGGGGCAAAGCAGAGGAGGACGACCAAACAATTGGGTGGGGCAAAGCAGAGGAGGACGGCCAAACAATTGGGTGGGGCAAAGCAGAGGAGGACGACCAAACAATTGGGTGGGGCAAAGCAGAGGCAGCTGAGGGGAACATGGGTGGAGGTGCTGAGCTTGCGGAGGAGGAACAGCACTTTGGTCTTGGAGCAGGAGAGGGAATATTTTAAATCCGGTCTAAAGAGACAACCTTTAGTTGCTATAGTTACTAAATACTTGCTATAATAGTTACTAGATAGTCGAGAACATTACATATTTTATAGGGCTTTAGATTATCATAACTTGTGTTAACGTGAATGATACCGAGACTAAAAGGGTGATACCTGACTTAAACCGGAATTTACTAAACGATCATTTATAACTTTAACTTGATTATGATATGCTAATTCTGTATTAATTAATTGCATTTGGAAAATAACGTTTTATTATTTTTAACCTCAAATTAAGAATGAGATAAGAGGATTGTGGCTCCGATTAAACAGCTAGGTATACAGCTAGGTAACAGCTAGATATAACACAAGTGTAACGAAAAGAGGGTCCAGAAAATTCTGCTTATTGTCACTTCAAAATACATATGTCTCGTTTGTCATGAGGTCGGGTATCTCATTAGTAGTGTTTATAATATTAACGCTTTAATGACGTCTGATTCGCGTTTTCTTGTTTCCCAGTCATCGCATCAGTTGAATCTTTGTATGTTCCCCATTGTTCTGTCATCACCCTGGCATATTTCGCAGCCTCTAACGTCTCTCTTGTGCATGATCTTAAAGTTGTTAAATTTCATCCAACTGCCCCATTATAATTATAAAACTTGGTACCATTTATTAAGGTTTTGCGGAGCGTTACAATTATAATATATAAATGGGATGATGATTAATTACTCTACACTCGACTGTCACGTGACTTTTCCAACCCGTTCTCTACATAGCTGGTCCTGAATTGTCCATTGTTAATGATTAAGTTAATGGACTAGCCCGGCGCGCGCTACTAGTAGTACTAGCTTCGTAGCACTAGCACTTGCCTCGAGGAGAAACTAGCGGCGCGCTCGCTTTTCCCATTCAATAATTATAAGCTTTATTACATTTCCTAAGAGTAAGCCGCTTGAATGAATGGGAAAAGCGAGCTCCCGATTTCATTCTGTATCAATTTGCATTTGCGGACGGTTCCTCAAATTAATATCATTTCCTTTTGTTTAGGAAAAAGAGACACTGGCAGCGGTTCACTCTACCCATGAATTGTAGTCGTTGAGTTATCTCAAAATCTCCAGAAAAGTCCCATTTTGGGC